TCTGTATTTTGCCCCCTTTTGTTCAGGATTTTTCTATGGCATTTTAAAAATCAAAATTCAACATATTTTTTTAAATGAAAGCAATACATAATCTTAGAGAGGACAGGTCACTTCTAAAGGCTCCATTCTTGACAACAATCCCTCTCTACTTCACATTCTTTAATTTCTAGACTCTTTTGCAAACTCTAGACCCTCCAGGCCAGCAACACAAAACCAATGGTAATTTGGGTTCTTAGAATCCATTTCTTAGCACAGGGCTGAATCATCCAGCACTGAGCTAATGTGTATTTTGAAGCCTCTTCTGGATTCTGTGAGAGGAGTGCTGTGATTGATTAGCAATGTCTGCCATGGCAGAGGGAGAGATGACTAGAGACATCTCTGTGCATCCTGACTTAGAAACTGCTACATAGGATGCATGCAGCCAAGCATGGCCATCTGGTACCAGTCTCTTTGCTTTCTCTGGGAAGGATCTATTTGTAGTCCCACTCTCCAGGGGTTCCCAACTTCTCTGGATTCAAGGTGAGGAAGGAGGAACACAATGGGTGGTGGAAAGGTGAGTCTACTGAATAAATGAGTAAGTTAAGTGTTGTTGAATCATTTCTGATTCATAGCAACCCTGTATAGGGTTTCTGAGGAGCAGCTGGTAAGTCTGAAATGCCGACCTTGTGGTCCAGTGCTTATCCTACCGTGCCACTCTGAATTCTGTGCCTGTCCCCACCATCAGAATCACTCATGAGATGAAAAGGTTTCTGTTCCCGTACAGCCTAGAATGCATACTGGTGGCTCAGAGAGAAGTTACAATTCAATTCCATAAGCATTTATTCAACCCCTTCATGGGCCCAGCACTGTGCTGGTTACTGTGGGAGAAAGTCGAGGTATTGTGTGTGGGCCATGTCTTCAAGGGGCTTTGAGTCTCCCAGAGGAGACTGACGATGTGATGAGTATGCAAGGCAATCCAGGGAAGGAGATATGGGGTTCCCTTAGGTGGTTCCATGACCCGGCTGGTGAAACTGGGGTGCTGACAGGGAGAAAGGGGCTGGGGCCATTAACAGGGTATGGTTATGCCTGCCACGTCAGCAGGGCGTCTTGCTGATGGTCCTAGGGAGTTGGAACAGGGACAGGGGCTGAGTGGGCGATTGCAGAGAATGTGGCAAGGGGCATGGAGTCAGGCCAAGCCTCCGTTATAAGAGGAGAGACTTGAGTCCTGAGGACAGGGACCCCAGGCCAGCCTGTAGAGGTCAAAAGGAACAAGGGTTATAAG